TCAATATGTATGACAATGTTACTGTCGATGGTGGTGCCACCCATCTTCAATATGTTTGACAATGTTACTGTCGATGGTGGTGCCACCCATCTTCAGTATGTATGACAATGTTACTGTCAATGGTGGTGCCACCCATCTTCAGTATGTATGAAAATGTTACTGTTACTGTCTATTTTTCTTAAAACATAAAACAATAAATATAGAAGTATAGCAAATCTCTTCTAGTTACAAACTTTATACTCGCTTGATGTAGGTTGCTAAGCCTTATCAAATTTTGCACATGGAGGATATGAAACGAAAAAAATAACCAAAAATAATAAAATCAATACCATAGAATTCCACTACAATTTATCAAGCTTAGTAACAAAGCTGTATTTTGGTCTGAAAAAATAGGTAATTTAGAGCTCTGTAAAGTCTTACCTTACTGTTTGAAATCTAGCATAAAAAGAAGGAGTCCTCAAAAGGGAATATTTCAAAAAGCTAAGAAAGCCACTAGGGGGACAATCTGAGCTTTCGATTGGTTATTCACACATCATACACAGAAGTAGGTTTACGTGAGCAAGTGTTTCCAAAAATGGAAAGAGGCGGGCAGGGCCACTATGTTTGAGTCAGTAAATGCAGTGATATCACAGCAATTAGAAAAGATAGGAGGTTCTTATTTTATATTGTAGCTTGTCAATATCAGTAATTTGAGTTGCTAATTCACAAGAAACTATAGACTTTGTAGTTGGACATTACAAACATCAAATTTGAAGCAATGCTGCATTCAACATACCACGTGACACACAAAAATCGATATTTATCTGTGTTCTTTTAATATTTACTTTTAAATTAAGAAATTAACTAATGTTTAATACTAAAATTTGAATTATATTCTACAATTTGATATCAAACTTATTAACATAAGTCCATAAAATAGTTCAATAAAATTTTGAATGCGAGTCAACAAACGTGATGACATGGCCTTTGACCAGTGTTGATAAGGCTAAATGGGAATTGTAAAAGAAAATATCCTGTCCACAAAATTTATTTTGCTTCAGCTAGTAGAACAGACACTACACATATATATATCCCTATTTAATTTTCCACTTCTCCAAACACTCTCACATAAAACGAAAAAGCCATACTCACCTCTCCATTTATTCGGAGAGCTTGACCTAAACTAAATGCATTCTCTTTGCCTTCCTCCATGACATCTATGTGTTGGTTGATGCCATCAGTAACTTTCCAGGTCACAGTTAGGTGGTCAGCTCCCTATCACATTAGAAATATAAAAGTAATTAAGTTATGCAATCAAATCGCCCAAAACCTTAATTGTACAACAGAAATTGAATATTCCAGATTTGATACAGGACCATTACAGTATTTTGTTACAATTAAAATACTGACATTCCTTCTTCAAGAATATCTCAATCCAAAAGTTCCTTTCTTTGTCAGTTAACTTTCTTTTTTTTATTATCCTAAATGTCTTTTTCAAGTATAAATTTTTTCTAACAAGAAAATGGTACATAGATCTTTCATGACATAAAACTGCCAATGAAGTGAGGAAGCAAAGATCTCTAACATAAAATCTCCATTTTTTTACACAGAACTTTCCTTGAGAAAAGCAGTGGTTTTGGACGAAAGTCATCATCAACATTGGATTTGGCAGATATAATGTGGATGCCATGTTATTAAAAACTCTATCAGTAAACATTACAATGCTTTCATAAGCAAAATATCTATTTTTTTCATTCAGCCTTAAGGTTTATTAAGCAATGCTTTTCTCATACTTTTTTTTTATTTGCATGTTGCCTATCCAACATACAAAGTAATTTTCAAATTTCACATGCAAAATCTTTATAATGCCGAGATAGTTATCAAACGTTTCTTAAGAAAAAAACTTTATATTTTATCTGCTATTTTCACTAACGAATCTCTGTAAGGGTTCGATAGATTTGACTGATCTTGTAACCACCATAAAAAAAATTGGAAATAAATGTAAATTATGCCTTTTTTGTTCTAGAATGACAACAAATTATAACATGAAAACATAAATGTTTAGACTAATTAGCTTAAATCTCATAACATTTATATATATATATATATATATATATATAT